AGCTTTCCCTCATGGTCACTACCCAGGCGAGCTCTCCAGCACTGCCTTTTCTAGCTCACCCAATGCAGCTTGTAGTGAGGAGCTGGGCCAGTTCTGCTCTGAGAGCCTCAGATCCAGGTCCCTCTTACCCATATTGCTAGGGCCAGCTCTACTATTTTGCCCAGGGAAGGTGCAGGGCCCTCTCCCAGTTGCTGCAAAGGACATGAAATGGGGTTGGGTTTGCTCTCCTGCTCTCTTGTCCTCAGAGTTGGTTTACCTGAGCTCTAGTGTGCTGCCCAGGTGGGGTGCAGGACCAACTCTCTCACCTACCACAGTAGCAAGGGGTAGAGGAGGGAGACCATCTTTCCTTCATCCCTGACATGGCATGGCAGGCAAGGGGTGGGTCTGCTCCAACGTCAGGGTCAGTTCTGGTGTGTTGCCCAGAGTTTCTTTAACCTCTCTGTCTCTTTGCTTCTGTCTCTGTTGGTCTGTCTACTTGTCTGTTTTTCTCTTTCCTCTCCCCCCCCCCTCCCATTTCTTTCTCTTTCCACCTAGGCCTGGCCTCATACTCATTATCCTCCTGCCTCAGTTTTCTGAGCGCTAAGATTCCAGGCATGTACTTTTATTCTTAAAATGTCGCGGGTCCCGGGCCGGGCTGGCGGAGCCTCACAGAGACTCGCGGGTCCCGAGCAGCCAGTCCCAAGACAGACAGAGATGGCTGCCGGTACCAGAGCGGTGGCCTGAGCAATGATGGCGGGTCATGAGGCAGAGAGAGCCAAGCTGCAGGTTCCCAACAGCATGTGGGTGGGCGCCCATGCGGCAGGGAGAGCCAAGCTGCTGGTAAATGGCGGGTAAAAGGCACTAGACATAGAAAATAGGCATAAACGTTTATTAAAGGAGAGAGGGAGGGGGGGAGAGAGACAGACAGAGAGAGAGAGAGAGGGGGGGGGACAGGAAGAGAGAGTTTTGAGATGGGATGAGAGGTCGCTGGGAGTGGGCGTGGAAAGGGGCGGGGATCAAAAGAATAACATGAACTACCACATAGAATTTTTCTTATTTTTATATAGGGTTCATTATTTCCCTCACAAATTTTCCCACCATCAAAATCTTTCTAATTCATTTAAACATACTGAGCTCACTGTCTACATGACTGTGTTATTTCTGATGAGCCTAGAACAGCTCTGCTCTGCCTGGTTATCTTCTGGGGTCTTCCTTTACCATTATCAGGCAGTCTTACTTCTCTGTTCTCTGCTTTATAACCAACTTGACAACCTACTTTAAGGAGGCCACATTTTTCTATTGTTTCAGGAGACATTTCTTTAGCAGTTTTTTTTAAAGCAAAACATATGGAAACAAATCATTTTAAAACTTCTAAAATTTATTTATTCTATGGTGTGTCTGTGTATAAGAGTATATGTTCATGTATGTGTGCTATGACACATGTGTGAAGGTCAGAGGACAATTTTCCTGAGTCAGTCTTTACTTCCGTTGTCCTACTGTGGGTTTCAGAGATAGAATTTGGGCCATCGGCTTGGACAGCAAGCATTTTTACCTGCTGTGCCATCTTGCTAGCTCTGAAAATAAACTTCCTTGAATGAATGGGCTCATTCTACTTTTATTCTTAATTAATAAAGTATGTGTGTAAGAACTTCTACCACGGAAATAACTTTCCTCTACGAAGTGTTGCTCCAATGACCTCTGGTGCACTTGGTCACAGTGAGGACTGCAAAGCTATTGTGGGTCTTCCATCCTTTGAATGGGTCTGGTTTTTATTCTCTAGCAGTTTTTAAGAAATTACCACTGCATCCCCACTCCCCAAAGCATTGATGCTGATTTCTATCATCAAAATTGGTTTCACCTATTCTTGAACTTCTTATAAAGGAACCCATACATTATATCCCTCTTGTGCTTATCATTCTTGGGGCATTTATGTCGTTCATCTAATATCAGCTGATGGAGGAGGGTCTATGGGTTACTTTCATTGGTTAATAAAGAAACTGCCTTGGCCCTGATAGGACAGAAAATTAGGTAGGTGGAGTAGACAGAACAGAATGCTGGGAGAAAGCAGATTGAGGCAGTCGCCATAGCTCTCCTCTCCAAGATGGACGCAGGTTAAGATCCTTCCTGGTAAGCAACCAAGTCGTGTTGCTACACAGATTATTAGAAATGGGTTAATAAAAATGAGAGAGTTAGCCAATAAGAGGCTACAGATAATGGGCCAAACAGTGTTTTAAAAGAATACAGTTTCTGTGTAATTATTTCAGGGCATAAGCTAGCCAGGCGGCTGGGAGCTGGGCAGGACGCAGCCCGCTGCTCATACTACAATCAGCATTTTCCCTTTACTGGGTAATATTGAATGCATTGTGTGTGTCACTGGTTGATAGGAATTTGGGTTCTTTCTATGCTTAAAGTATTATGAAATTTGGTTCCAAGGCTTGAACATTTTTATGCAAGTCCTTTTGCACAGCTCAATTTTAAATCGCTCAAGAGGTAAAGGCCTCGGGGGAAAATGTCAACATCAGCAAGAAACATAAACATTTTAAGATAACTTGATTTCTACAGAAGCACACATATAGTCCTAACTATGATTAATCCGAGTATATCTACTAGAAAATTATACTGAGAGGATCCAGGGTAGCGTTAGTCAACCAGCAGTCCCTAGGGTACATGTTGCAATGTCTAGGATGTTTTAATTTACTAGGTGTGGGGTTTGTGACGGTCTAGCACATGCCCCTGGCAACTCTGATGCTGTTTCAAGTCTGAGAAATGCAGTGAAATAAGTACATGTCAGCTCTTGCGTCTTTGCATAACCATATTTGGGTGGCCAGAGGTACTGCATTTGGGTGAGTCATCTGTCTATACCCTGCAAAATAAGGCCAGCTTCAAGGATGGGAGGGAGGTGCCCCTGAGCTTGCCACCTGTTAGGCAACAAGTTTCTGCCAAGATTGAAACATTCTATCCCTCTAGGGAAGCTCCTTAAGCCTGAAAGTAAACAATGCAAAATAGCTTCAGGAAATTCCTGAAACTGACCAGATTCACTAGGCCCCTCCCAGATAGAGTAAACAATAAAAGCTGAGAGTTCTCCTCAGAGAAGCTAAAGTGCAGAGAAGATTGAGACCAGACCTCTGCCTGAAAGAACAGAAACCAGCAGAGCTGGCTGGGAGAGACTCAGACCAACTGAGGCACCTTGCAAGGACACGCTTCAACCTGTCTGCAGGCTGTACAGTGTGCTCCAGGTTTCCTAGCCTTTGTGCATTGTCACCCATGCTGGGGTGGGTTTTGGTGACGCAGTTGTCTTTGAGTTCTGCTCCTGTAAGTAACTCTTCACCTATATTCCTGTATGTAAACCTAATAAAACGCATTGATTTACCAAGCTGGTCTTTGGAGGTATCTGTAATTTGGTCTGTCATGTCATGGGATCCCTCTTTTGTGTAAGTAGAAATGTGTGTTGTATCTCCCTAGGAGAAATTTTGTCACGTACATCATAACATCATGAAATAACAAAGGTAACACCATCCTATCCCAATATTATTTTGTGCCTGCCTGGTCACGTCTCAGCCTTCTACCAACAGCAACATTCTCCTAGACAAAACTTCTGGGACACTCCATGACTTTGACCATGGTCCAACCATACTGTGTAGTGCCTTGTAAAGAAAGCAGAGGTTACTAGGCAACTCCAAACCTCCCAGACTAATGTAACACAGCCCCCTAACACTGATATAATTATGGTTTTATCTTTTAAAACGCTGTACCCTTGATCTTGGGCACCAAGAGACTTAGTTTGGCTATTCATAAAGAACTCAAAACTTGTAATTGACTTGACCAGTGTAGTTGTCACTATCCATCTTATGTGGCCCATTTCAATATTGTTCATGGTCATTTCTATTGATTTATTTTCTTTTTTTGAGGGGGGGGGTAGGAAAGCAGTTTATTAGGCTGGACTTCCAGCCTTGTCCACGGGAGCCCTGCTTGCTCTCGGTACAGGTTATGGAGCACCCTGGCCGCCCTCCTCTCTTCCACTTCGAGGCACCGCATCCCTCAGATCTGGCACTGCAGCACCCTGCCCAGCAGGCGTACAGCACCCTCCACTTCTTCTGGAGGTGACAGAGGTGACGGTGTTGCAGTCTCTAGGGCAGGCACCAGGGGCACCAGGGGCTGTCGTGCCCTCTAAGATCCTTTTTGCTTTGCCTAGTGCTCCCTCATCCAGAGCATCATCCTCCACCTTGTCTTGTTCCTGCTCCTTCTTCCTCTGGGCTGTCACTGAAAGGATTCTAACTCTCCAGATAACACTCCAGCTTCTTCTTACACTGTGTTTCGTAATGGCTCGACTCCGGCAGACAGAAATTTGAAGTCCCCAAATCAAGAATGCCATTATTTTCAGTTATAGTACTCAATGTCAATGCCATTTTCTGCATTTCTTACCCACTCCACATCCCTTCCTGTCTTCATTCATAAAATAAAAATGCAGGAGAAAATGATGCCATTTAGAAATTTATCCATGGACTGGAGAGATGGATCAGTGGTTGAGAGCATGCATAGCTCTTGCAGAGGACCTGAGTTCGGTCCCCAGTATCCATATCAGACATCTCACAACCTCCTGTAATGCCAGTTCTAGGAAATTCAACAGCCTCATCCGGCTTCCAATAGTACCTGCATTCACAAATACACACACACACACACACACACACACACATACACACACACACACACTTAAAAATAATAAAGTAAATTATCCAAATCCTAAAAGCAGGCAAAAAGATCATCCTGGTCCACTGTTGTAACAGGCTCTCCTAGTCTCACTGTTGGAAGGTACAACTCCCTGTGACTCAGCGCTTACTCCCATTGCTCCCATGTGTATCTCTGTGCATGGAAGCAAGCTGACGGGGGTGGGGGTGGGGGGGGGGGAGGGAAGGAACTGAAGAAGAGGAAGCACCTTAGGGAGGCAGGACTAGGGTGGGATACCAATGCTTTAACGGCAGATGTGCCTTGTAATGGAAGGAATATTAAAACACGTATGGATCTAAAGTAATAAGAGTTAATGTTTTATTGACATGAACTATTACTCATACACATTGTTCTCGGTGCTCATCTCTACTGGGATGATTCAGGAAAGGGTTGCCCAAGCCGAGTTACTTGATTTAACTGTTTATGAGTCACCAGGCTGCATCCTTGCTCTTCATGGAGCAACCACTGTACCCCAACATAGTTGTCATAGCCCTAAACATGTTTTTAAGGCTACTCATTCACCCAGGAATCTAATCCCTTTGACAGTGTGTCCAGCTCCGCTAAAGGATCAAAGTAATTGGCTGCCACAGTGAACGTTACTGTGAAGCCTCTGCTACTCAAATACGAGGATTTGATATTCCAAGTGTGTAAAACCTGGTATGAATTGGTCAATGACTTGGACACAAGGATGTCACCACTCACAGGCCATTCCAGGTTTTATACACTGTGCTTTAGGCTCAACACCCTCTCTCTCAGGCAAGATGCCTTGGGGGCTTGGACCACTGCAGCCTTAGAGAACAGCCTTATACAGCTCCCATCCCACCTATTTTGGAGTACACATCTTGCTTTATTGCTCCTTTGTCTATGAAGTGAGATAATGCTGGTCCTGCTCACCTCTCAGTATGAAAATACCACAGATCAAATAAAAGTTTTAAGACAAAGACTTCCAGCCAATCCCCTACCTCTATGCTGAGTTCAAGGCCCTATATTTAAATTGAAGTTAATGTTGTAGTATTTCCCCTGTTCTGACGTGAGGAAGATGGGCTCGCCATTCTTGGAGGATGCAATGAAGCTGCCAGGGAAAGCCACTGACTCAAAGGTGGATGTTCTGCCCGTCTGGGTATGGTAAAATAGGAAGGGCTTCTTGGGCTCAGGATGGTTGTACAAATCCAAAATCTCCTCCTCCTGCGTGTGAGAGAGAATACACATGAGCAAAATAGAAGCTGCTTCTGATAGGCAAAGCTATTTTTGCAGAACCAAAATCTATTCTCGATTTCAAGGAAGCCTCTCTTACAACAGAACAAGAAAAGACATTTCAGGGGTTAGGAATTTAGCTCAGTGGTAGAGCGTGTCTAGCAAGTGCAAGGCCCTCGGTTTAGTCTCCAATAATGTGACCCCTCTACAAAAAGAAAAAGAAAGATGCAGAAAGGGAAAGGAAAGGAAGGGAGGCAGATGAACATGCATCAACTCTCCCTGCCTCTCACTGTCTCTGTTCTGTTTTCTCCTTCACTAGCAAACACCCTCTGCCTTTAGCATTTCTACCCACCAACCACGAATGCTTCTCAGACTTTCCCAGAGCTATCCTGACATTTGGCTCAGCAGAGATTGGCTGACTGTTAAACAGGGAATCCTTTGTATTTCTAGCCTCCCAACCCACTTTTGTCATCGTCACTTCCAGTTTCCAACTCCCTGAGGAAGCCTGGATGAGGTCTCCTAACCACCTACTGACCGGACACATCTTGTCCATATCTGTCCTTCCTACCTGAGAATGACTAGACATGGCTTCTCTCCACTCCCTAATCCATGGACATTCTTCTAGCCGGCCTTCTCGCTCTCTCATGCAGTGCCCACTTTTGCTTTCTCTGCTCAATCATTTTTTATCTCTATATTTGCTTTCATCTTAAAAAACATAGGCATGTCACTGAACGACAGACACACGCTGAGAGTAATTGTTGATGGTTTCACCATTGTGTCACACCCAAAGCAGTGACAATGTCACTGGATGACATCATCTTAGGAGACCACTGTGCATGAAGTCCATCGCCAAACCAATGTCACGTGTCACATAACTGTATTCTAATTACCCAACACCCCTGTCAGTTCTTGCTTTACAGAAAACCCCTCGCGATAGCTGCCAATATTTGCCGTCTGGTTTATCTCTTTAAACTCACTCTGTGTAAGCAAGATTTAACCCCCAATGCTATCTCATTAAGATCCCCTAAAATCCATACATCATCAATGACTGAGATCAAAAATCCAACAGAAGAGAGACCTAGAAAAAAGCAGGACAGAGCTCAGAACGCAATCACTTTTACTCTGTCCACAATCTTGTTGTTGACACTTAGAATGTTTTCAGAATCTACCCCCACCCACTCCATACCATCCCAGAGCCATTGACTCCCACCTAACTCCCCAGAAAGCCTCCAGAGGCCTTCCCCTCTTCCCTCCTCTCTGATCAACCTGCGGTCAGAGTGATCCACTTTAGATCTCAGTTATTTTGGGTCACCCTGCTCAAGGCATCCCTGGTTTCTCCTTTCACTTGGGTGGGTGGCCAGGTCCTGGCAGAGGTCTGGTCTCAGTTCACTGTTACACACCTGTCTATACTGGCCCAGTGGCCAACCCTCACCTGCTGACTTCCCAGCCTCCTGCTCACTCCAAGAATTCCTCCTACACAATGACACCTGCCAAATAATTTACACCGGGGCCTGACTCCACTCCTGTTTCTGCTACTCCCAGGCTCAGCCCTGATCTGATTTTGTTTTGCTTTGTTTTTTTGGTGGAACTTGTTTTGTCTTGCCTTTTTTTTCCCCCCTAGGATATGTGACAAGTGTACTATTATATCTAAAATTTGTATGTCTCCTCTTCTATAATCTAGGCTGGACAAGCTCAGAGCCCTTTGTCATTCTGTTTAAAGATATCCCATGTAGTCATGTGATATAATTAAATTTCTGCATATTTTGCTATGCTAAATTGTATTGAGTTGAATTAACCTAATTAAAGTGAGGTTTATGGAGAGCATACATATAAATGAAATTATATTTATGTATCTATATTTCTATGTGTGTATATAATGAATACAACCAACTTGACAGCTTAGGAATTGGAAGAGCAAAGACAAACCTTTTAGAAAAGGTTAAGGACGGCTCATTTAGCAGGCAAACCAAGACAAAAAGCATAATTATAAACTGGCTGAGAAGTTCTAGAAGGCAAGGCCAATGTGTAAATGAATAAACAGTGGGAGGAGAGAAAGCATGGCAATTACGTAAGACAGTAGACAGTACTAAGGCGAGGCCTCTGACTGGTCACTGGGAATTCTAAACAGAGAAATCCAGGAGAGTTAGGGAAAGGGCACACGTGAAGGCACAATGACAGAGGGCATCTTAAAATTTAAGAAAGACTAAAATCCTCAACTAAAGAAGGACAGATAAATTGAAGTCTTTTACATGTCTGTTTTTTTTTTTTTTTAATGTTGCTCCAGGGGAGAAAGAGTTTATTTGGCTTAAAATACCAAGCTATAGCCCATGGCTTCTGGTAAGTCATGGCAGGGCTTGGTCTTCCCACAGCTGACAACGAAGGTAGGCTTCTAGAGGATATGCCCATATTTTTAAAGGGGCTAAATCCAAACATGCTTAGGAAAAGAAAATTCTTTGTTAATTCTGAAATTTGACATCCTGCCAAATAAAACATGTCAAGATACAGGAGTTTCTCTTAAACACCAGAAAGAAAACCAAGCAGGGAGGGGGAGAAGCGACGAAGTGGGGGAAGGAAAAAGGACGTGTGTGGCATGCAACAACAGATCGGAAGCTGGTGGAGAGTTAGAGGTGAGGTTAAAGGAGGGAGCTGGGATGTTGAGGGTCCACTAAAAACATGCTTTGCTTAAACACCGCCCCACACAACCTAATGCTTTCTATGCTAACTTAAAAATGAAAATTATAAGAAAAGAAATGCAGGCTGTTTTATCTTTATGTTATTTTTCTGGGTCACCGACCTTGAGCTGCAAAGTGGGCTGTCCATCAGCTTCCTCACAAAATAGGCATTTGTCTGGATTCTGGATTCCCATATAAATGGGAATCCCTTTGCCTTGCTCCAGAGTCTCTGGATACTTGCATGGGAGGACCGTGATGGTGACTGTAATGGTAAAAAGATAACGATTTCCTTCTGAGGCCAGGAAGACAGAGTGCTCTAATTGTTCCGATTTAGCAGAGCAGCGTTTGTCAGGCGAGGCCAGAGGACGCTTGATGAGTGTAACCCCTGCTACCCAGGCTAACTAAGTGGTCATCCACCCACTCCACCCATCCATCCTGACAGGCAAGCCCTGTCCTGGCTATTGGGGCCTGCACAGAGCTAAGCAGATGGTAGGATTGAGATGTTCACACTTGTCCTTAAACATCTGGAGGCCGAAGCTCCTACCCTACGCCGTATCTCTGACCCTTGGAGAGCTGTGACTATTAGCCTAAAGGGATGATGAAATTTACCTTTCTGTGTTTCCTGCTCATTTCATCCTTTTAGGATGCCTTGATGTATATAGACATACATTTTCTCCTTCCATAGGACAGATCTTTTGGTGACTGTGTTAGTCTAGTCTGGTACAAACCTCTCCCTGACTTCTCTTTCAAGGCAGGAGTAAAATTCTGCCCTTTCCAGGTAAGCCCCATGGAAAGTTAAGTTCGGTTTTGATACATAATTAGACATATTTTGGACGTACACAAAGTATTGGTTTAATGCACGTCTATGGCATACATCAATGAGGAAACCAGAGAATCGGTATATCCTTCATCTCATATATTTAGCATTTATTTATGATCAAACACTCAAGAAGCTCTCTTCTGACTACTGTTAACTGTGGTCATCCTGCTATACGACAGGGTATTGACACTTTCTTTAACAGAGCCCATATAAGGAGCAAAGCAGTGACAGGTGACCACTGACCTGGGGCTATGTTGCTACTCCATGGAACCACCACAAGGCCCTGACCACGAAAGATCCACACCTGCTGCTCCAAGTCAGAAACCCTCCCAGACTGAGGAGTGCTTCTGGCTGTTGGAGTGAAAACAAATGATAGGCATGAAGATTATGTCTCAAGAATAGGAAGAAGATGAACTAAACCCGGGGCTCTTTCTCTAATGAAGGTTTGCATCCAGGGGTTTACATCCCTAAACTGGCAGTCTTCATGTAGCCCATCAACCTGGACTTTCTTTGCAGTAAATCCATGGTAAGCAAAGGCCACTAAGGATCACTGTTCTAAGAGGACAAACAACTAAGAGAGTGTGGCAAGTAGTTCTACACTTCCTGTGTGTTCAGACCCAGCTGCTCGGTCGGATGCTGTGAGCCGTAGCTAGAGCAGTGGCTAAGTAGGGGTGCCTACCCTGCAGAAAATGAAGGCCTAGTGGCATATGGGCACTTTGCTATGTGCCAAGAGCCATATCTGAGGGATAGGATGGAATTCTCGGGTGCCCAGAGGACATATACAAGGATGCAAATTCCCCAGCGCTCTAATGTCCCATTCCCAACATCACCTCCAAATATGTCAATTCCTTGATTGTTTGCCATAGTAAGCTTGTCCTGGTACCTGAGGGAGGAAGAGACATCAGGAGGAAAGATAAGCTTCAGGAGACATTTCCAAGACTTTTCATAACCCTGAACCCCCGGGCTCTCATTCAGGATAGAACCAAAGTGAATAAGCAGACACGATGCTCTAGTTAGAAGAGTTAAGCCACCCTCTGGAACCAAACCTCAAGGCACTGGAGACAGAAGAGCCGGCAAAATTCTCCTCTACCCCCAAATCTCAATAACATTGTCTCCCTACAGATCTCAAGGCCAAAAATAACATTTGGCCTTAAACATTCCCCCAGTGCCCAATTCCTTGTACATCTTTCCCCCAGAGGCTTTTCCCCTTCACTGCCATCTCTTTCTGCCTAAGGCAAGGGAGGGCTTCATGTTGGGCAGTTTGGCCAGAATCCCAGCAATTCAGAAGTGAAAGACAGAGGTTCACACATAGAGCAGGGCCCAGAGTCATGGCTAGATTTTTTTCCCCATCCACTAAGCTCTAAGGTACATAAAGACTTGGGGTCTAAAGTTTTGTAGGTATGGACTGTACCTGCCAAGAAGATGCTTTGTGGAAAGTCCAGGAGACCAAGTCACAGCTGGTACAGCTCCCAGGTGCCGTGATGAGCTTTGACGGAGCCTGTATCATTTATCTAGGTGAGTGCAAGAGGCTCCAGACTCGTTTGTGGGGTGTGGCAACATGGAAGATACCCAGTTCCTCTGGCCAGAACCTTGCTCCTGGGAGTCTCAGGTGAAGAAATCACAGAATAATCATGAGTGTGACTTGTCTGAGCTGCTTTAGAAACATGAGGAGCCCAGCCTCATAGGTCAGTCACCAGGAAACAGAGGTCATGACAAACCTTAGATTTCTCAAAAGGGAGTGACTGTAGGGTTTTCCCGGAGCTCAGCTGACCTCACCGGTCACTTTGGGGTTAGGCTGCAAATTCAAGAAACACAAAAGACAAGGTTGGCTCCTGGAATCCGGGCCTTCAAAATTTTGCCCTGGGATCTCAATAGTCTCCCTAGCCAAACTCTTTTACTTTCTGCCTGGTTCTCTTTCTGGCATTTGAGGAATGTGCTCCTATATTACCTTGGAAGATAGTGTAAAAATGAATTGAGAATCACTCTTATCCAAAATCAGGCTCGGTGACTGTCACTTCCCTAGTTCCTTCCATTAATGCTTCAGTCAAAATGTTTCTTCCTTGGGATGCTCATCACAAAACAGCATTGTAAAGGTACCATTTGCCCAAATCCCTGAGTGTACTGTTTCAGTCAGAAGCCAATCTGGGAAACAGAACCTGCTCTAGGACTTTAAATGGAGAGAACCAAAGACAAGAAATTGGGCTTACTCCTACAGAAAGGTTCATGGAGGCTAAAGAATAAAAAGAATTGTAGTACTGTATATAGTAACAATGTGGTAATGAAAGGAAAAAAATAACCAGGAGCTCAAATGAAGGCTCTTGGGGTAATGCCTTGGGAAGTGGGAAACCCTGCATCAAACTGATGCCCTTAAGAAGAGTATGCAAAGAACACACCAATTGGTTGCCCAGTGCCAGATGGTCAGTACTGAGAACAAGCATACAAGCAACATTATATGAACTTAACAGGTTATATTTAGGAATATATATGTACATAAAACAACAAATTATGAAAAAAGAGGACAAGAATTTGAAGAAGAGCAGGGAGGGATAGATGGGAAAGTTTGGAGAGAGAAAAGGGAAGGGAGAAATGTTGTAATTTTAATTTTTAAAAACCTAAAAAGAATATGCCATCTTGTGGATGCACAGTTCATGGAGGTAGCGGGGAGAAGGTCAGCTAGGGAAATATTTTCAGGCATTTAAAAGTCTCTGACTATATCTTGAATTCTCCATGGCTAGAAGAAGATTGTAAGATCCTGTGTAGTCTGGTGATGTGTCTCTTTAATTTCAGCCTTTGGCTCCACTTGCTTTTGACTCATCCTCAGCTTCCTAGCCTTTAGGGATACAGCCCTTCCCAAGTGGCCATCCTTGAGTCACTGGTCCAAACTTCAGTGCTGATCTCAAAGGACAGAGACCTTAGAGGAAATGGGTGTGTGGAAACCTGGATCTGGTGCTATAAAAACATTTCAGACCGGGGAGGTGATGAGTAGAAAAGAAACAGGTCACCAGTGAGAGTGATTATACAGTGAGAGACGACACCCAAAAGGACGGAGGAGTCAATCTGATGCTTTCATAACAACCATTTCAGGTGAACTACCTGGGGTCTCTCAAGAACTATGTCAATCTATGTTAAATTAATCTAATATTATGCTAATAGGGTAAAATATGATATTAGCTATGTTAATCTCCTCTGAGGTTGGAACACCCAGTGACATAATCCCTTTTTCTCTTGGCTCCTTCCACATGGTTTAATATGCTTTTAGTATGACCACATTGGGAACCAGTCTTCCATAAACACCATGGGCCATACTCAAGCCATATCTAAACCATACCAGGAGTGATGATGATAAAGAGGAGGAGCAGAAAACAACTCTTGAAGAGCAGCTACTGAGAAAGTCATTTAGAATTCTTATCTCAGAAATGAAATGGATAGATATTGTGAATATAAGGTCCTCTAGCATCACTTGAGATGATTACCAATATTGACACTAGCTGTTGGACCATGAGCATGTTGCTTTAAAATGAGGCCACCTTAAGAGATGTGGCAGGCTGAGAGTGATCTAGTTATACCTCCCTGAAGCCCTGGTCCCAGTTCTTCTATTCTATAGGTACAAGTAGCTATGTAAATATCAAGGGTCCCTCTCCCATCTCTGTGGCAGCAAGTGAGCACAATCCTATGGTCCTGCTCAAGACAGACGTGCCCTAAGTTATGCTAGAATGTTAGATCACAGATCCTCTCATTTCCAAGTTGTTATCTTTCCCCTGAAACTCAAGCCACATCCTCCCCAGTTTCCTCTCCCCTGCCTCTTCCTCCTTGCCTCTTTACAGAGAACTGATAAGCAAAGTTTACTATGGCCTTGCAGTCTCCCTCCTCATTGCCCATGGCAACTGTGAGCAAACCCAAGTTAACCTTAAAGTATAATTTTACATTTATCCAGTACCCTCCAGCCTCTGACTAGCTGGCTAACTAGGTCAGGCTAAGTCATGCAGTAGGTAATCTTCCCTCCCACTCTTGGAAACCTAAAGGACAGAGAAGTTCCCTTTGTGTTACGGAATTGAAGGATCTTCTTCTCCTTTCAGGGCCTCCTGATAGTCACCTATAACAATAGCGCTGTGTATTCCTAGGCATTCAGGGGACTGGAAGAGGATCCCCTTCAGAACCTATGTCAGGTTGTCTTCCCAGATGCAGGTCTTCCTTGGGCCCGAAGGCTCGCTTTCCCACTTCGAACAGTGATGATGTCACTTCTTCATTTGAAGAGTGGCTCCTCTTGGCTTTCTTTCTGTGAGCTGTTACATATGTCCTTGGTTATTTCTGAGAGCTAAAACACACAGCAGAATTTTGCTGCTAAAAGAATCCAGTTGCCAGTGCTTCCTATTAATGTTTTGGCATCATCTAGAATAGTGACAACAATGGCTTTAAGTGTTCTTGGAGCTGAATCCTGGGAAGTACACACATGGCTAAATGTCTTAGGTATGGAAATAGTTTCAAGATAATTATTAGTCCAGATCCTAATTTTCAGACTCTAAGAAGGTACTATCCATTGGCTTTCTTTTCTTTTTTTGTGGAGAGAGAGTTAGATAGAGAGGGTAGTAATTAGTCCTATAGATTGATTTACCTTATTAGATTGAGGAAAGATCAAAGGAAACTGAGTAGGGTAAGAGAACTTCTGTATCATGAGAATCTGTAGAACTACTTTGCAGGTCTCCATTCTATAATCTGCACTCATATAATCAGGCTGACAATCAAAACCAAAACGTCAGGGATCCTGCAACAATAAAGGCCATTCGACCCTTCCTCAACACTTATCAACTATACAGAAGGCTAGTGGAACACTAGAGTCTCAAAATCAGGTACAGAATTCTCCACTGACACACTCAGAGGACCCAATCTACTGTTCCTTGTAATCTGTCAAGAGCAATCTACAAAAATGCCTAGCATTCTGGTCAGGGGCTGCCACTGGAAAGGATAGAGCCTTTAGGGTAACAGGTGTACACCATGAACAACAGAGACCACTGAGGGGTCACTTGCACGCTAATAGACTTGAGGAAGTGCCATGGAAATTTCTGGGGCAGCCTCTGGTGTAGCCCCTGTAGATAAAGCAATAGTATGGACGTCCATGTTGAAAGGCTTCTGCCAAGCAGCCCTACCCTGGGGCCTAAGACCTGCTTCTGTCACATCTTTCTGAAGCTTGTCTCCATGAAACCCGCATTCTATGATGTGAGCCAACAAAGTATTTAACTTCATCCCTCCCTTACGTGAAAGTGAAGGGCAAATTTACAAAAGTAACCCCTGAACTACTCAACAAAATAGCAGAAATAAATAGAAGTATCAGAAGAATTCTTGTCAAAGAATGGAACCATATAGGAGCACCATGAAGATGGTTCTCATAATTCATGGCAGCTAAGGATCATTGTGCAGTTCTGGGCAAGTGGAAAACCAAAGCAACGCAAAGCACTAATTTGAACAGAACACACAACATCACTTAAAAAATAGTTAAAATGCCTAACATTTAAAGTTTCTGGATAAAAAGCCAATGGCAGAGAATTCTTAGTCATTGCCCAATGGTCTGCATCCTAAAAACTGCAAAAGAAAAACCGAGACATTAAGTGCCATCAAAATGCTCAAATTTCAGAGGAAATGTGGACCAAAGACACCATGAAAGAAAACCAAAAAGACAAGATACTTGGGAAAAATTATTTACAACACACTGAAGAAAAGAAGCAACTCATACCCAAAGATTTTGGTTACTATTTGCTAACTGGTAGGAAAAATTAGATTTAAAAGCATTTTACCAGATATGAAATACAAATATTCAATAAACAGAAGCAATTATAATAACCTACAATATTTATTAGCAATATACAAATCAAAGCAATAAATGAGGTTTCCACTCACCAGGATGTCACTAATTACAAAGACAATACTCAATGGTGTGAGGAAACCGAGGCTGTGGCTGTTTCTCCATGTATCGTGTGTGAATCAGCATAGGGAATTTATGGGAGACGAATTGCAGAAGGTATTAAAATTTCAATGCGTGTGCCCTTGCCTTGGTAATTCTGCTAACAAGAACGTATCGTTTTGGGGGCTTCCAGCTCCAAGAACTGGAAAAGCCATACTGAGAACCTAACACCATCAAAACCTCCTTAAGTTTTAGTGGAAAACTGGAGCTTGCTTTTACAGCACATCTGAAAGCAGGTTCCATGTTTGGAATGCCCACTAGCAATTCCCGATCCAACCCTCTTAGCAAGGATCTCTCCTTCTACTTTCTTGGCTGCCACCATCACTGAAAACGTGTTAATGCAAGAAACACAGCAGTGGTGTTGATCATCTTCTAGGTACCTGTAAGGACTCTCAGTGCTCTTAATTTTCATGGGAAAATTCTATAATACACTTTCCATTATTGCAGCCGTATCACCAGTACACAGCCCCCCCCCACAGGTTTTAGCGTTTTATTAATATCAAAGTTGCTACCTGCACTGGTTAGTTTTAAAACAAATCAGTTACTTGGGAAAAAGGAACCTCAGCTGAGCAATTGGCTCCATCAGACTGGCCTGTGGGTAAGCCCATGG